TTTTGCGTCCGATTCCAGGTCAGGGCACATATCTAGGTTGCAGGTTCTGTCCCTGGTTGGGGCACATATGAAAGGCAACTGATGGATGTTTCCACACTCATGTTCCTCGTACCCTTCCTCTCTCTAAAAAAACCAATAAACATATCGTTCGGTGAGGATTAAAAATTACACATATAAATGACAATTTACATACTTCCACGTTAAAGAGCGATTAAATGAAGAAAATAGGCACTGGTAAGTTTATGCAGCTTCACTGTAGACTATAAGAAAGCACCCTGGTGTCCGAAAGGTACAGATTCAGTGCCATGTAAACTACTACTCAGCTGTGTGATTTGGGGAAGTTCCCTGGGGGGCTGAATGTCCCTCCCAGTGTACCCTGACCCAGTAGGTACTAAAGTGTTAGTTCTCCTCTTTTCCCTTATGGTTTTGGAGATCTGGGAATACAGAGCTTCAGTGACAAGAAATTTCTCTTTTACTTTTGAAATTAAAAGGGAGGCATTTAGTTTCTTAATTCAGTTTCACTTGGATGAAACAGTTCCCTTTTCAGCAATAGATAATTTTTTAGTTATATTAATATTACTTTTAGAAAAATGTAATTTTGTGTTACCGATATGCAGACTTACTGTCTCTGGCATCTTTTAAAGGAAATAAAATTATTATTTTGAAATAGTAAACATAGCCGAAACCGGTTTGGCTCAATGGATAGAGCGTCGGCTGGGGAATGAAGGGTCCCTGGTTCGATTCCAGTCAAGGGCATGAACCTTGGTTGCGGGCACATCCCCGGTAGAGGGTGTGCAAGAGGCAGCTGATCAATGACTCTCTCTCATCGATGTTTCTAACTCTCTATCCCTCTCTCTTCCTCTCTGTAAAAGAATCAATAAAATATATATTTATAAAATAGTGAACACATAAGAAACAAGTCAACAATGTAATGCCCCAATGAATCCTGAAAATTTATTACTTGGGAGAATGTCAGATATTGATATTCTGTTTTACAGCTCATGACAATAATCAGAAAATATACACTTTGAAGTGAAGGTCGAAAGAAAAGAATAATTACATATAATATACAGACTACAGATACTTTATTTGTACATAAGCAAAGCAATACTAAAAGCATATTTATATGTCCACAATTAGTGAACGCGGTGATTTTCTGTTTAAAGCTGCACAACTCAAATCCTCCTGGGGTCAATAAAGAAAGGCAGACTGAGAAATACATTTAGGGCTATCACCGTGTCTGGTTGTAAACCTTTTTAATCTCTCCCTTCCCCCCATATATATATATGTATATACTTTATTGCCTTTATATTTCTGCTGGTTTAATATAATTAGTATACTAAATAGTTATCTGCATTTATTTGGTTTCTAAAAATATATAAAATGCATTGGAATAGAACTCCTGCAGCTTTCCAGCGGCCACTGTCCTGGCACCGAAAGCTCTTCTGGAAATGTAAAGCAGCAATTCTGAATAAATAGTGATTGTTCTGTCTTCTCCATACAGCTGATGGCCTTTACCCAAAACTTAACAATACTGTAGCAAAGAGTATAAACATGCAGTTAAAAAATGGACGTAATACAAAAGTAATACTTATGAGTGGAACTTTACACAATAGAGACTAACAAAGACAACTTAGTAGATAGAAGGGGGATGTGAACACAGCATTGCTATTTACATATAAATTAAGGCCCAATTTTTCCAAAGGCAGTGCACATGGGGAACTGCCCATCTGCCCACACCCTCTGCATACCTGAAATCAAGCGGGTTTTGCTTTCTCTGTAGTATTTCCTCAATCCATTATTACAATTCTAATTTGGATAGATGTTCACAGAAAAGGCTTTAACACAATTTCTTTTTTTCTACAGAGTGTTTTGCTCTTATTCACAAAGAAATTTTTTTTTTTTTTTTGGAAATTTCCTTTTAATGCATGTAAAAAATGTAGCTCTGGAAGCAAATGTTTATTTGCTCTTATTGAACACTGTTAAAATTCACATTTCATGTCATCCTACATTTTTACTGTGTCAGTGTTGTCTAAGCTCTAGTTTATGGCTATGACTAATTTGAAGTATGAGAGCTGATGGCTAGTTCAGTGATGACTGGGGGGATTGAATGGGTAACTCCTATTAATACCAACCAAAGTCTCACATGTAAATTCTCTGTGCATCAAGACAAAAAAACACACAAATGCTAACAAGCCAAAGTATCACCTAAGAACAACAAAAGGACCCTGGCAGATCCTTCTGAGGAAGGTAGCTACTTAGAGGGTCACTAACGTACTAATGCTATTTCAAATTACTCCTCGGTAAAAAATTTTTATCTTCCAATGTATTTAATACTTATAGAAAACGGAATAAAGTAACTTGCAGTATAATAAACAAAGAACTTGTCATCTAATTTAGTATTTAGAACCTGAATATTCCACAGATTCAAAATTTTATATTTGGTATTTTTGTATACTATTGCCCAGTCCTCACCAATATATCCAAAGATGTGGCACTTAATCGATCTCACTCATATTCACAATGGATAAAAATGATTAGGAACAACTAAAGTGTGGTGTTTTTTGTGTGTTTTTTTTTAAGATGTTCTAGGGAAGTGAGTTTTCCTTGCGCTATTTTAGAAACAGACTTAGAAAATATTCCTTAGAGGTGTGCTTCCAGAGGTACTAGAACTGATTAAAAAGCAGGGCTGCTTAATGCATTCATCAAATTCATGTTGCTCTCTCTCCTCATCTAGGAAATATTTGTATCTGTAATTAGATCTGCAGAGATTATCTGGCAGCCTGAGAGCTCAGATGAAGTTATCAGAGTGGTTACTGTGATGCAAGGCTGGGAGACCCAGGGCCACTGCAAGGTGGAAGGTGCTGCCAGTCTCCCTTAATTTACTAGATTAATGCCGGTAAGAATTTACTACAATTAATTCGGTACTGACTTTGTGTTTCTCACGGCCTGCCAAGCATCTTTACAATTTGAAACGGCAAAGTTTAACATACCTTTTAACATTTTTATTTAAATAGAATGTGATCGATTTACAAAAATATTTTTCTTTGTGAATAAGATCACAATTTCTCTGAATAACAATAACAAAATGACTCTTAGTATAGGATGGAACCCTTTAAAAATAAGGCATAGATCGGGCATACATAAATCATTATTGTCACAAAATCTACAAATTATTTTGATTTTTTTAATTCTCATAATTTTCAACCATATGTAAATATGAATTAACTATTATAAATTGAGAGCAAATGTGTACAGGTTGTGGTTATTTAGATAAGAATCGGTTATTTCTCAAGTCATTTGCAAAATAGTATAATGGCAAGGTCAACTCAGTAACTCCAAGAACCCAAAGAAAGTAATACCTTTAGTTGAGGTCTGCCATTTAGCTGGACTAGAAAAGGCAACTCTACATTTTACCTTCAGTTCTCTAGAAGCTTCTATATATTTTCATAGCCATCCTTATAATTTCCCATTGGAAATCTAAATATAGCAGCATTCACAGCATTCATTAAACCAAAAATAAGTCAAATGCATTTAAAACATCCAAAGTTGACCTCATGCATAAGCTATGACTTACATTTTTTAATTGTTACCATGGCATTAATACACTAATCCTCTGTTACTCTGTTGCATGTAAGAAATAGAGAGATGTATTTTCCTCAGAATGAAAAACTAGAAATTTCAGAAAAAGATCTTTATATCAGAGGGAATGTAAAAATGGCTAAGAGATATCTGACCACATCCCTTTAGATATCACTTGTGAGTCTTAAGTTAATCACTACTCATGAAAGCGGTGCTAATTTTTGGTTTCATAAATAAAAAATATATATATACAAATGGAGATTAATGTCCTATAAAAGTCAAGCTCAAAAACGAAAAAGAACACTGAATTTAACTTTATTTCCTTGGTAAAAAGTACCTAACTCCAACCCACTTTCTCACTCTCGAAGTGATTGGAGAGATCACAATAGTCTATAAAGTACAGAGGAAATGATGTGCAAGTACTACCTTCCCCGTGGGCGCTTACACTGGGAGACTACACAAATGAAGTGGGCTATTTTAAAACGTATCCCTTACAGCAAACTTCCTAAAGGAGACTGACCTGGTCCTCAGAAATCTCTAACTTATATATTATGGCAACTCTGAGGACCCGGGATAGTAAAAGAATAAGGCCGGGCAGGGACATAACATAATGTATCAGGAACCCTCTTGCCTGTTTGAATCGATACTCAGCATTCACGTCTTTGTCCTGCAGTGCTGGGAGCACTGCAAAACTTTTAAACATATAATTGACCTCACGAAAGTATTTCTGTTCTGGTATGTGGTCCTTTATGTACTGAAAATATTGTAAAGAAAACATATTAAACTCCGGATTGAAAAGAAATGCTGAAATTATTTCAACCAAGTAAGCAATGGCTGGGACACGTCACAAAGCAAATCCAAGGGGGTTCTTCGGAGTTCATTTCGGTGGTGGAGCGCACTCTGACGCTTGTAAGTCAGCATTCGACGGGGTAAGGTGGGAGTGGGGAGTCTGGCCACATGCGCAGTCATAATCACAGGTACATAATGTAATTCGATCACAAGGTAAGCATTAATAAAAAACAGTAAGACACCAATATTCACACATTAATTGGTTACATGGAATAAATTAAACTAAGCCAGTCGCATACTTCTCTTCACTCCTAAGTCACTTTTGTTTTTTAAATGTATACACACAGAATAATACTTTCCTAATGCTCTCCAAAGGCTACACATAAAAATGAAGGCTTTGCATTACAGCTGCAGGATAAAAATGTCAACACTGCTCATGGGTGGAAACAGTCTCTTTGTTCTTTAGCATCAGTGCACAGGGTATGGCTCCAAGTGGTATGCGATTTATGACAGGAAACGATACGGTGGCCTGTGAAATACATCTCTGTTTGTCATTGGCACAAATCAAAGAAAGGATCTTTACGGTCCGTGGTACCTTTATTGGGTCTCTCCCCCAAAGAGAGATACTGTTATACATATATGCCTTCGGGATTGAAACCAGACGAGATAGGATTCTGCAGAATCCGAAGGTTAGTGGGGAGTTGCCGGGATGAACCAGGCCGCTTCAGGGAGCCGGACTGGAATGCCGTCTCTAAACAGGAAACAAAGAGTCATCAGATGTACTCATCAGCTGGAGTACTTAGCAATATGAACAATTAGGACTTTTTCTGCCCCGAGGAATCCAATAATACATAGAGGCAATTGCAATCCACTGTGGGTACTGGGTGACTAACTCTGCTGGCCCCTCTCAGCTGATACACCAAGTGATTCGAGCTGTTACTGGTCTTTTAAAGAAAGTGAGCACTTTGCTTCTCTTTCTTGGTTACTCAGACCACATTCATTTACTGACTTAGAAGTGTCTTTTAAATATCAGGTCAAATTAATTAATTTTAGGAGAAGAAGAAGGGGCATTAGGAACAGAGAGAAGCTAAAACTCAAATAGACTATGACTCATACATACTTCAGGAAAAGAATATAAGATCTGGTGATTTCATGCTCACTCAAGTCAATAAACAATGTAAATAATATTGATTTTCCCCAGAAACAGTACGTACATTAAAAAACATTTTTTTTTAATGGCCCAAAAGAATTAGCTTTGAATGGTTAGGATGACATTTTTACCGAATGCCACACGTTTATGCAAAGTCAACAGGTGACAATAAAGTCAAAAAACAAAAACAGATTTCTCCACATCTTACCCCTTTCTATGTCTACGTGGGAGGCCTCTACTTCAATGGGCTCCGCTGGCAACACGGTCACCTTCGTCCCCGTCTGCTGGATAAACTGCTGGAGGTTGACTTGCCGCAGCTCTTTCGTCAGCTGCTCCAGCTCCTGTTCTTTGTCCTGGAGAGAAGTGAGAGTTATTAACTGGAGGTTCGGTACTGGCCACCCGTCCTGGTGACAGGCCGTCTGCTGCAGGGCTGGGGCAGATGCTGGCTGTCACAGGAGCACTGAACAAGCCAGGCTTAGAGCTACCACGGCACAGAGGTCACTTCCTGCGTGGCCTGGGCCAAAAATAAGCAAATAAAGGACAGCCTGGACTCTTCAATGTGAGGCTTCCCTCTGCTGGGATTGCACTGTGCACCGATGAAATAAGTGTAATAGGTCTCATCAATAAAATACTGGCTTCCACCATCCCAGCTCTTACAGCAAGCTTGCTAAGCTGTTCACAATGAACTGTCCCTATCATCCTCTTCATAACTGACTGCAAGATGAATAGCCCTTTGGTCCATGAGAGTCAGGGTTCTTGTTTTCTGTAAACTGTTACAGTTCCCATGAGGTCCATTACTGAGATTTGTAGCATAGCAGGAGGGAAGCAAGGTCCCCACAGGATTCTCACTACGGGGGTTTGCAATTTCTGAAGGAGGAGTTTTGAGAAATGAAGAGCCCTAAAGAACGGAGATCATATCTGGACAGCTGGAAAGGTCTAAGGCAAGGAGAGCATTCTGTGATTTAAATGGATTTTCTCTTTCTCTCCTCTGCCCCACCTGGGCTGGAGGTGCCTGGGGACCTGGGAGGGCAGGGAAGATATGGTAGGAAAGAGTGGTTGTTTACTTAGAGGGTGGGACGTACTTGGAGATGTTACTAGTTTACTAGCATTAGGTATCTTTCACTAGGTAGTGGGATTTACTAGCAATGATTGTCATAAATTAGTGTTTCCTGTAAGTAATATCAAAGGCAACACCATTTCCAACTGTGCCCTTAAGTGTCAAAATGAATCCAAATAGCAAAATCCTGGCACATTGGAGGATAACCTTCTACAGAGTGAGAAATTCCTGATTTTCAAAATTGGGGGGAGGGTAGTTTTACCTCTCATTCTATAGTTAATGACAGAGAAATCACACCAGCTCTTCCTGGAACCTTAGCTTTCTCTGCTTCTGGAACGGCTCACACTAACACAGCTCCTCTAGAGCTAACTGGAGACCTCGTTATAATGTGGAGTGTGAATGACTAACAAGTGTTAGGAGCCGCATGGACCGCACTCTGAACAGCAGGCTTCCACACCAGCGCTGTCCAGTACAGGAGGCACTAGACACATGGCGTCGAGCACCTGAGAGGTGGGCAACTTTAAATTCACTTTGTGCTTGTAAACAGCTCTACTGAAAATTTCATTTAAATTGAAGGAGCCATGCTGTAATCAATGGTGGGTCTCTCTCACATCAGCTTCCATAACATCACCACCTTGTCTTTTCAAGAACGGATATTCAAGGAACCTAAGGTGAGCGACGGGGGTATATGCCAAGACATGTGAGTGCTCTTAGACGGAAGGCTGGAGAGGGAAAGTGGGAAGGGGGCCTCTGTGGCCTGCTCCTCAGGAAAGCGAAGGAGAGCAACGGTGAGAGGGAGAAAGGAAGGGACTATTTTCACCCCAGGAAAGAAGGTGGGGTTAGCAAAATGAAGAAGCCACAGAGAAGCAGCCAACTGGCCAGACAATCCTTGGTAAACCGATCCTCGATAATCTCTTTCGGCTAAAAAGAAACTAGAGATTCACTATCGCATCATTAGTGACCATTCCAGCTGAGATTCTGTTCTCCCGTATCTAATTACCCGCTGCCGCCGCCACAGGGAGACAGCCCTCCTGCGGCAAGGATCGGTGTGGCTTCAGTTCTCTTTGGTTACGTCTCACATCTAAGCTTTATAGTTAAGTCACAAGAATTCTAAAAAAGTTTACACTAAGGCAGGTGCCTATCTTTAAATGTAAGAGAAAACGGTCACTCATCAGAGATGTCAAAAATAAATGCTTTTAAATAGATCATTCTGCCGAAACCGGTTTGGCTCAGTGGTAGAGCGTCGGTGTGCAGACTGAAAGGTCCCAGGTTCAATTCCGGTCAGGGGCATGTACATTGGTTGCAGGGACATCCCAGGTGAGGGTGTGGAAGAGGCAGCTGGTAGATGTTTCTCTCTCATCGACATTTCTAGCTCTCTATCTCTCTCCCTTCCTCCTCTCTGTAAAATATCAATAAAATATACCGTATTTTCTGGTGTATAAGACTACCCCCTAATTTTACAGTTAAAACATAGGTTTAGGCCTATATGACTACCCCCCACTTCCGAGGCAACACCAGTTCTTTTTTTAATAGACCGCCTCTCTGACTCTGGCCAATCTGAGCAGGTTTTTTACTAGAACACAGTGTAGCCTGTGTACCTACCTGCAAGCGTTTGGTGGCTTGTCCGAGAGATCTTTCCACAGCTTTGATACCATTCTCCAGCCTCAAACTCTGCTGTCCTTGAATGTCAATTTCCCCTTTGACCTTACCGATCTTTCCCTTAACCTCTTCTTCATTGACCTGTGCCTCCTGGACTTCCCGTTGCAATTTTTCTGCCTCCAGACCGTTTTCCATAGTCTGGATCTGGGCCAAATAGTCCTTTAATTTGCTCTCGCATTCTGTTATTTTCTGTCTTATTTCCTGAAGTTGATCCTTCAGCTGCTTTTCATTTTCCTGTTCAATCTGCAACTCATTTTCCCAAAATTCTTCCTCTTCGATTTCTACATCATTTCTTTTGATCTTCTGCTCCAGGCGAACGATTTCCTCTTCAAGGCTAGAATTATATTTTTGCTCCCAAAACTGTATTTCTATTTCATTTGATTTCAGCTCCTTCTCGATGGACTGAAGCTTCTCTGTCTGCAGGCGGATCAGCTTCTTTAGCTCGTCTGCCGTCGTTCGGCAGTTATTCAGCACTTTTTGCTTAAATTCTGTTTCTTTACCTTTTCCAAAAATGTCCATCAACCCTTTGGCACCGCCTGTAAATGTTAACGATTTCCTCTTAGGTTCTCTCCGTTTGATAGATTTGTCCACCTGAGGCCTCAGTTTGGCCAAGGGGGGCAAGCTCTGCCTGTACAAAGTTCTCTCGGGAATCCGAGCCACGCTGTCGGAAGTGGGCCGCTCGCTGAGGGATGGCCCCGTCCGCCGTAAAATAAGCTGCACGTCGCTGGCATACTGCCCCCACTTGTTTAAGGATATGATGGGATTTTCATGAGGTGCCAAATGTCTCTCGGTGTCTCTCCATTTTTCTATGAGAGTGTACCTTCCAGTGCGACCTAGGTTAAAAAAATATACATATAAAGATATCAACAAACTGTGGAAATGGCACATGCGATACCTAAAATAATGAAATATATGAGGCTGTTTAATAATCATCTCTTTTTGATAGCACCAAGGTTCCGTCCACACTCCTCTGAAACTTTCACTTGAAGACACTGAACTCCTTAACGTATGAAACAGCATCAACACATATAGGATGTGAACTGCACATGCTCTTCAGACTTGCTTTGAAATTCAACTTAATTCTTTACACCTCAGTGAGAAGCTTACCCTCTTGTCGAATACCTGGTGGCCGAGGCCTTCCTGCCGGGGCAGGACCTGCGGCTGAGGCCAAGGAGGACCCTGGGATGCCCCAGTGGAAGCCCCGAGGACCTGGTCCCAGGAACGAGGTAGAACTCCGAAACCTGAGTAAACCTCCACTTGGTAAATCCTCTGCGTTCCCTGCACATCAGGGCCTGCAGAGGTTGGAGGCCACTCCTCCTCCTGAAAGGAGACATGAAGCCAGCTGGGCAGGTCTTTCCTGTCTCCCCGTGGGGCTGGCAAACCCACAGTTCACACCCGGCTATCTCCCTGCACACCTGCGGCAAATAAAATAAATCACCTCACTGGAAACAACCCTTCAAAATAGTTTCCCATGAAAAGAGGGGCCTGAAGAGAAGTCCTGTCCTGTTTTGGTAGTAATAGCTTCAAAGAGTCTTTAACAAATTTTTTAAAGGCAAAAATTGTATTAAAAGCAAAAACAGAATAAAATAATATTTAAAAAAAAAAATACTGAGCCTAGCTAGAAATTATGGAAGATAAAAGTTTCAGAAGACAATATAATGCCATTAGCTTGAACAGACTTCCTAAATATTTCCACAAGGTGAGTGGGTTCAGAAGGATTATATTAATTTTGTTAGAAGTGTCCATTAGGTGACACTTGCAACTAATATAATGTTTCATGTTAATTATATCTCAATAAAATGAAGTGTCCATTAGCACTTAATGTTATTACAAAAAATAAACTAACCTTGCCATCTAGAAATTATAATGCTTGCATATATAGCTATTGATTTATCATCCCTGCCTTCTTTTTTAGTTTCATGAACTTCTGAACCAACAGTAGTATTTTCTCAATTACTGTGTCATTAAATGGAAATCTGGATATGTAAATTCGAATACCCATGCATGCAATTCAGAAGCAGCACATGAAATATGATACTGCTTTAAGCATGTGCAATGTTCTCCTTTAAGGGAACCTGAATGGTGGGAGCAGCTGAAAAGTTGGAGCTTTGAAGGCAAACAGACTGGAGACTCACTTCTGGGTAAATTACCTACTGAAAGTAGCATAACTTCACTTCTGTATGAGGAGAGTAGCAGTTCCTCACAGGTTAGAAGAGTCAGAGTCAAGCACAATAAGCACTTACTACCACACCTGGCCCACAGTAGGTACTTAGTATGTGGTAGCCATTATTAAAGACACTGGAGGCCCAGTGCATGAATCCATACATGGATGGGATCCAGTTGGCCTGCCCCAATGGGGGCCCATCAGTGGTAAGGCCAACCAGGGGGAGGGCCCATGGGAGGGCTCCAGGGCATGTCCTGCCTGTCTTGCTCAGTACTGATGAGCGGGACCCCAGCATCAAGCTAACCTACCAGTCGGAACATCTGCTCCCTACTGGTCAGTGCACGTCATAGCGACTGGTTGACTGGTCAACTGTCTGTCCCTTGGCGGTCAGTGCACGTCATAGCAAATGGTTGAACAGCCTTAGCATATCATTAGCTTATTACACTTTGATTGGTTGAACAGATGACCAGACATTTAGCATATTAGGCTTTTATTATATAGGATGATTAATCACATAACATTAGGCTTTTATTATATAGGATGGTTAATCACATAAGATTAGGGCTGAGCAGAGACCTCTATTAAATAGGGATGTAGTAAGACAATAACCTGACTTTAAAAAGACTCTTAAACAACTTTCCGCAACTCCCAACCATGTAAAGCTGGACAGATCAGAAAGAACAAAAGCTCCGGAGTCAGAAGGCCTGTGTTCAATCCGGCTCTGCCATCTACTTACAATGTGCACACATCCGTACATTTCCTTTAGCTTCCGGTTTCTATCATACAGTGAGAGTATTTTCTTACCGGACAATGTTGTTGTGACAATCAAGTGAGATGTCAAATATAAAAATGTTTTGTAAAATTGAAAAGTGCTGCAAATATTAGTTGTTATTATCAAACTATCTGGGCAAACAAAGGGAACGAAAAAGAAAGCCTTAGCACATAGGACTGGCTTCTGAAATCTAATTGGTTTGTAATGATTTTCAGGTTGAAAATTACCTAGAAAAGCCACATGACAAATCTTCAAGGAACACGCCGCTTCAGAAACCATAGATAGCACTTTGTGTTCTTGGCTCCACTGTTTTTTAACCAATTTTAGGACCCACTCCTGCTGTTGGATCTCTCTCTCTCTCTCTCTCTCTCTCTCTCTCTCTCTCTCGACTAGATCAGTAGTGCCCCTCTAATTCCATCAGGCCAATGAAGAATGTTTAAAAAGAAAACGAATCATTATATTACACAAGCTAAATTAAAAATTTTAAAGACTCTAATTTAGTCATAATTAAATATAAAGCTGATTTTTCCAATGCTTAATGGTTCTGCTGCCCTTTGAGAATGTCTTGGTTGATTACTTATTGCCACCTTTCCATTTTTGTTAAATAATGCACATTTAGTGCAATTAAAAAAAATCCATCTAGCAATATAAAAAAGCGTTTTAAAAAGATAAATGAATATCTTTGATTTTATTATAGAAATTGAGTTTTAGGTAGTTTATGCAATTAAATCCCATAATCGTTATTGTTAATATCTATACTTGGCAAAGCTCTACAGATCCTATTTAATTTAGATAGATTCAAATTTCTCCTGCAAAAACTCCTTTAGTGCATTAAATGAACACACTTAGTTCTATCTTGCATAGCACCTTGATGTGCCTTAAAACTAACAAAAAGGAACAGCTATCAACCTGTTTGTGCCATTTGTAGTTTAAGCTGCTTTGGTAGCTTTGGCACCTAAAACCAAGTAATGGTAAATAAAATACTGACTAGTCCTGGTCAGGTGGCTCAGTTGGTTGGAATGTTGTTCCTTGCACCACAAGGTTGTGGGCATGTATGGGAGGTAACCAATCCATTGTTTCTCTTCCTCCCCCCCCCCCCCTGCTCCCTCTCTCTCTAAAATCAATAAAAACATGTTCTCTGTAAGGAATACACACACACACACACACACACACACTATATATATATATATATATATATATATATATATACCCCACTCTATTTTAGAGAGAGAAAGGGAGGGATGTGTGGGGGGAAGAGATAGAAAGGGAGAAAAAGAGGGAGGAGAGAAAGGGAGGGGGAGGTTTTGATGTGAGAAACATTGATTGGTTGAAATTAACTATTTAAATCATTATTTCACTTTCAGTCATTCTGTCTCTTGTCATTTCAGAATCGGTTCTATTTCTACCACCTGAATCTAACCTGTCAACATAGTCAAAGATCCGAGTAGAAAGTATTCTTTCTGTACTACCAGTCACCTTCAACAGCTTGTGTCAGAGTATGCTCTCTTTAGCTCCAGGTTGACTGGACTGCACAGGAGCACTGCATCAGCTTACCGATTTGTGTACATGTGTTCATCTCGGTGGTTTCCCAAAGTGATTCCAGCTGCCCGGAAAACTCTACAATCCTGAATCCAGAATATATGTACTGTGCCGCCAGAAAGCACATAGGCGGCCTTAAACCCAAGACTCGAGTCTTTTCAAGTTGCTTCACTATACATTTTTTAGAAACATGCAGCCAGTCTGCTAATAGCATGACTAAACTTTTACTGTTGTTAAGCTGCAGAAATTCAGGGGTTGTTGGTTACGACAGCAATTTCCTCTAATTAATACACCCTTGGTTATTTCTTATAGTAGTGATTAGGCCAAATCCTGTAAAATTTTCACTTACGTGTTTTAGTCTGAATACCAATAACTTTCATTACAAGGCATATAACTATTTAAGTACATATCAGTGTCCTGCATTTGATGCAGAGGCGATCGTAGGTGCGATGGAAGCGAGGACCCACCGCCCCTGGCTGGCTGCCAGGTGAGTCATCTCTTAGATGAATTCTTTTTTTTTTTTTTTTTTTTTTTAAATATATTTTATTGATTTTTTACAGAGAGTAAGGGAGAGAGATAGAGAGCTAGAAATGTCAATGAGAGAGAAACATCGACCAGCTGCCTCTTGCACACCCTCACCGGGGATGTGCCTGCAACCAATGTACATGCCCTGACCGGAATCGAACCTGGGACCTTTCAGTCTGCAGACCGGCGCTCTAACACTGAGCCAAACCGGTTTCGGCTAGATGAATTCTTAATTCAATGAAGTACTTATGATACAGAAAGAGTTGTTAAGCCTTGGATAAATATCATAAAACATCCTCATTCAAGGTGTCAACTTTTCAAAACAGGTCTGGACTGAGATGCTGAGGAGGCAAAAGTGGGGAGCAGGTTCTGTTAAAACTTCTTTTCAGCTTGTTCACAAACAAGGGCACTCCTGAGTGCAAACGGATAAACTCACACCTGGGACATGTGGGCATCTTCCCTTAGAAATTCTGTGCAGAAATGTGGTTAAGATGTAGACAAATGCAGCTTGCTGTACTTCCCAAGTGCCATGCCTTTTGTGTGTGTGTGTGTGTTTGTTGGTTTGTCTTTACTACTGTCCATGGCTTGATTCTCAAATATAACACTTAGAAAGTTTGACACTTTCTAATCCTAGTTTTCACTAAGGAAAAAAAAACAAAACAACCAAACAACAACAACAACAAAAAAAATACAGTAATATTTAATTCAAATAAATTATGTGAAACTTTGAAACTTTTAAAAGGGAAAATTACTAAAATAAGTTGGTTATAAAGAATATGAAATAAAAGTAAATACCTGAATTCTCCCCTCTTTAATAGATAAACTTAAGTCTATAACATAGTATTAGTTCCAATTGCAAGGAAGTTTTGTTAGATGTGAAAGCCTAGGATTTTCAGCATTGTTTGATTTAGGAGTGTGCTATAGAGTATTTACGGCAAATCCAAAAGAAACCCCTCTATCTTTGTATATGGCAATGCCAACTTCTAACGGTGCATCTGCCACAGTGCAGGTGGCACACTTGTCTCTATAAAATGTTAAACTGGATTGTTTCAACCCTGAGCTAAATTGACATGCTTTCAATATAAACCAGCATGACATAAAATAAACTTTTGATATGAAGCTCAAAGACAAAGAGGCACTGAACACCTAGCATGGGGCTGAACAGTTTCCTCTGAACACATGCTTGCTAAATAATGGATTTAAGATGTAAATATAAACTTGAACCCATATTACTGGCTTTCCTGATGTAGTTGTTTTTGCCTTCATCATGTTCCAAAAGGGTTTTAGGCAACTATAAAACACTCAGACAATGTGATAAAGATAAACTGGGAGTGAAGAAGAAGAAAAAGTGCAACAGTGTAACTGAATTAGATGGAGCCAGTAAGCATATACTTGACAACTTCATCTTTACTATATGATAAGATTTTAAAAGTACACATTACCTTTCTAGTAAAGATACATGTTGTTTACTTTGTTGCATTTTCTTTTCTAAACATATACAGAATGAGCAGTAAATAGGATTTTTCCAATGAGGGGCTTGGGAACTAGGACTCTAGGTTTTGACATCTTTCATTCCAGAAACCATTATTAAGGACAAAGAGCAGAAGGGAAGATAGTACAGACTCTAGACTCAAGTTTAGTAAAATCTGGGAAGGGGGGGGAGGGACCAGAGAGGCAGGGTCTTTACAGATTTACCTAAGCACAGGGAAGAGTGATAAAAGTGTGCTTGTGAGATGTATCATGAAAGCAAATGAACAAAACCTGTTAGAAATCAATATTTAAGGCAAACAAGCAACAGGACCCATAAATCACTTCATCTCGGACATCAGGGAATTCACTTACCTATCGCTTGAGCTAAGGCAATGACAACCTCCTGGCAAGTTGTGACTTCGGTGACCCCGCAAACAATCCTCTGCACTCCATCCACCCAAACTTTAAGTTCCATGGTGCACCAGCCCGTCACCCGAGGGCCCTGAGACTGGGCATCAATGGTGTCAGGTCATGTCTCTGGCTCTGCAAACACGAAGAAGGCAGTCTGTGCAGTCAGCTAAAAAGAGAAAAAAACATTTTTAATAGAATGAATCTTAGGATTTCTTCTAGTATGCAACTATTACACAAAGCAGTTTTTTAAAATATATTTTATTGATTTTTTACAGAGATAGGGAGAGGGATAGAAAGCTAGAAACATTGATGAGAGAGAAGCATCAATCAGCTGCCTCCTGCACACTCCCTACTGAGGATGTGCCTGCAACCAAGGTACATGTCCTTGACCGGAATTGAACCTGGGTCTCTTCAGTCCCCAGGCCAACACTCTATCCAATGAACCAAACTGGCTAGGGCTACAAATCAATTTTAATATAGGATGATCCTACTACCATCAATGACCATGTGCTTCCTTATTTTACAAAACTAAATTCAGCCACATGAATGCAACTGACTTGTCATGACAATATTTCATAACTGTTATTTTCATAATTATAGTTTTAATTATAATTGTAATTTTAATCGTAAGGCCACTCCTACTGGGTAAATAAATCTCATTTACTTGACTAAGTCCCACTGCTCAACATTTAAGCTGCTTCTTTTTTTTAAAAAAATTATTTCATTAGAATCATTTCTGAGGTTAAAATTTTTTTTAAAAGTGTCATTTTAGGAATTGTAAACAATGGGACCAGTTTCTACAGCCTTGCAGAGGTGTGTGCATAACTCCAGGGCAGTCCTTTGTCCTGTGGTCCCTTGCCTTCCTTCCATTCTCCAGGGGACTGAGTGCCTCTTCACCCCTCCCAGGTGCTTCACAAAGCCCAGCACAAGGCTCAGGTGAACAGAGAATATCAGTTAAAGGAAATGAATTCCTCTGATGGCTGACAACTTCCCCATAGATGTCCTTTTCTCATTTACTTAATTAGGGTTTGACAAGTTTCTTAAATTATGTTATTCTAATAATATAAACCGAAACCTTTTGTTACACTTGCCAGTGTTTCCCAGTGTTTGATTTTTTGTTGTTTTTTTGTTTAGCTGCACTGCATGTCAAGCAGAAATTTTTACTTTCTCCTACAGTCAAGCCGAATGCCTTGGTTTCTTCTATTCAAGTGTCATTATGAGCCTGCTAAGGATCAATTACACAGGATTCTTTTTCCTATGGGTACTGAAAATCTCCGTTCTTCCTGCATTAAATATTTAATCAAATATGATTTGTTTGTCCATTGTCCCGTGGTTGTTCAATTTTTCTGTGGTTTTTAAAAAAAATGTTAACGTTTATGAGGTGTAATACACACTGATTTAATTAGAAAGAACATGACGTTGAGGTTTACAATAACAATGGTGTTTCGAGATTAATGGTTATTAAAAAGCTTCTTTTAGAAACCCTAAAAATTTTCTTGTATTTTTCTTGTGGTATTTACTACAAACAGTAATTTAATTATGTACATTCTCTTATAGGACCTAAGAAGTTCCAGATCACCTGGCCACCTGGGTGAGTTGAAGGAGAATATCAATACTCCTACTTTCTCTAGGAACCTTACAAAAATCATTCTTGTCATCCCGAAAACAAGAGTAAGGACTGACCGAATGTTAATTTCCCAGCACGTGCTTTAGCTCTCTCTGCAGTGCTAAGGCGGTTCATAAAACCCCCATGCAACCAGAGAAAGGGGCAATTGCCCGTGACAAGCTGATTGCATAACGGTGTTCCTCAGTTATGAAGTCCTGTGAGCTCTTAAGAGTTTCTGGGGGAAAAGGGTTCTGAAACCAACGAATTGTAAGAAACACAGTAAATAAAATTTTAAAAGCTCCCTTAATGGGCTGGTGCGCACTCTACACTTCAAGTAAGAGGTTTATATGATACTGTCCCCAATTCATTTAGAGAACATTTAAAGAAAGGAAAGAGAAGACTTCGGACTTAACAAAATTTGTTTCCCTCTCTGCTAGACTCTCTCTATTAGAATTAGAATATGCATTATTCTGTCTTGGAATAAAGTTAAGTTTAAAAAATGGCCAAACAATATATATTGTGTTAAATTAATATATTAAATTTGAATTGATTTAAATAAATGAACTGGATTAAAAAAAAAAAAACACAAAACTCTGTGGCATTAAAATCTATTGAATACCTAATTTCTTATCATTAAAAAAATTTTAAACTTGGGAAGCCTAACAAGAATGACAACAGATCTCATTACAAGTCCCTCTCCCCACCAAGAAACCCGTCATTTCAAGGAAACTTACAAAGCACTGTTTTAATGTCTACAAAGGTTTTAGTACACCACCACATATTTTCCTACCTAAATTACCACAGGTTCACCTTGAGCTTTTAATCATTAAGTGAATACAAATGAACATAAAACACATGTCCATCTGTTAACTATTACAGAGTTATAGTGATGTGGGAAAACACGGAGCACAAATAACACTGCCCGAGTTAATCACAACCTGCAGGGTCTTATAGCCACTGGATCACAGACTTCCCACCACGGGTCATCACAGAGAAGCCCGAGTCTGTGTGTGTGTTTTAACACCACTAATACAATTCAACCTTGAACCACTGAGGAGGGCAGGAAAAAATGCCTTCATGGATCAGGTCAATGAACCCCCTGGCCACACATTTTATTTCTAGAAGGGCCGCTGGTCTTAGTACATGGCTCCTGTCGAGTTTGGGGCTGTACTGACACTGATCCCTAGGTTCCCTAGAACCATGAGTCATTTGAAGAATCCATCTTCCCAGCAGAGGCCCCTAGAACTCCCCGCTCTTTCTCTCAGACCCTCCAAAGCCCAACTCCGAAAGCTCTGCTCCCAGCCCCAGAGCTAGACAGGAGGGGGAAAGTCCTACATTGTTGGCGCGTGTGATGGACAGGTCGTCTTTGGAACTAAAGACTCAGGAAGCAAAACAGGCTTTGGAATCCCAGTTGGAATTTGGAATGGTTTTTGTCCACGGAAACCATGATGCAGGTAGAAGTAAGGTTCTACTGTGATGGTATGGATATAAGAAGTATGTGTTTTCATTATGAAGTTTCTATATTCAAAGCACTACCATTTTAATAATTTTGATAAGAACTAAGTTTGTTAGGTAACATGCCACTGCTGAACAAGTGTTCTTTAAGAACCATTTACTATCTTAAAAGCCTACTGGAATTAAGCATCTGAATTTATAGAAACACTTCCCCAAGATCAGTGGAATTATATTCAATCCTCATTATTCATGGTTTCCGTATTTGTGAATTCATCCACTCACTAAGATTTTTGTTGCTGTTAATCCTCACCTGAGGATATTTTCCCATAATTTTTAGAGAGAATGGAAGGGAGGGGAGAAACACACAGAGAGAAACATTGATGTGAGAGAGTCATGTTGATTGTCTACCACAGGAGCCCCACCCAGGGCTGGGGATTGAGCCTGAAACCAAGATACGTGCCCTTTATTGGAATCGAACCAGGGACTCCCCAGTACTCAGGCCAACACTCCATCTACTGAGCCAAACCAGCTAGGGCACTAAGATTTATTTTTAACCCCCAAACTAAACACTTGTGGCACGTTTAGTCATTTACAGACATGTACACAGCAGTGAACAATTTGAGTTCCCAGTTGAGGCTAGACAGGTCTTTGCTCTGCCTTCTTGTGTCTGCTTTCATTCTGCCAACAAGTGTCCTTGTCAAAGTCTATTTAGTGTTATGTTCTTGCATTTTTGTTGTTATTTTACTGATTAAAATGCCCCCTAAGCATTGTGATAAAGTACTATCTACTGTTCCTAAATGCAAGAAAGCTGTGATGTGCCTTAGGGATGTGTGTTAGATAAGTTTTGTTCTTGGTAGCGCTACTGTGGAGGCGGGAGAGGCTCACACCACAGCAGCTGCGCTTGCCAGCCATGAGCTAGGCATCTAGCACCGGTCAGTCAGCTGAGCAGCACTCTTGCTGTGGGAGCACACTGACCACCAGGGGGGCAGATACTCAACATAGGAGCTGCCCCCTAATGGTCAATGCACATCACAGTCAAATGATCAACCCGTCAACTAGTCGCTTAGGGTTTTATATATAGAGATTAAAGGCCCAATGCATGAAATTCATGCATGAGTAGGATCCCTAGGCCTGGGCGGTGATCAGGGCTGATCGGGGCATTCTGGCTGCTGGCTGGAGCCTTCCTTCTTTCTGCACCACCTGCTAGTGGTCAGCGCATCTCATAGAGAGCGATCAAACTCCTGGTCTCCCGGTTGAACTCCCAAGAGGACACTTTGCATATGAGGCTTTTATATATATATATATGGTGTCTTTAAACAGAAAAAGATGTAAAACAAGGTGATGTATTGATCACTTGACAAAACTGACGTGACCCAAGGCTCTGGTGAGTAACAAGAGGTGACTGCGTACTTTTACACAGTATAACTTCCTATGGTGGTAAACATTAAGCTTCTGTGTAAATTCCATTATTTCCTGGACACCAGATGCAAGCATACAGACAGACAGCTTATTACCAATTTTAACGTTTCCTTCATTGCTAGTTTTGCTTAAGACCTAAGGTTACTGCATACCATAGCTTTCTTTGTAAAACCAGTATACAGATAAACTGAGTTATAATAAAGTTCTCACAATCAGAGTAGCTACTTTAATTAAATGAAATGCTGATGCTAACCACTAGTTGCTGTTGGTTTTTTTGTATTTTGTTTTGTTTTTTTACATCAGAGAGCAAAATTCAGCACAATGAACACAGTATATTCTGAATAGTTGTTATTAGAATTACTAATAATCAGATAGAGAAACTTTTCTCATACCCAGAAGTGTTAACAGATCATAAAACAGTATCAAAACCTTTTAGAAATAAAGTACTTTACTAGGATGGTACTTATTTGTGAACTAACAGTTTGGATAAATTCTGACCAGTCAATTATCGTTCTGAGCAAAAATAGTTAATATGCAATAATTATCATTTTAAAAGCAGGTTCTTTACAATTACCTATATAAGA